TTCCACACCCGTTCGCGGTCGTCGTGTTGTCCGTCCCCGTGCTCCAGCTGTGCCAGGCACTCACCATATGGCAGTGCGTCCTTCCTCTGTTCCACAGCGCGTTGTCCTGCCGTCTCCTCTTGCGTCTTCTCTTCCTCACATTCCTGACCCTGAGTCAGACCTTGTCCGTACTGCCAGTCCGACTGTCACTCGTCTCCTTGCCACAATGTTGCTGACCCTTCCTTTGAGTCTGCTGCAGCGTCTGCCTTAGTTGCTGAGCTTGTTGACTTTGCTGCTTTGTGCCGCCTTGACTACGCTGCGAGTCTTGTTTTTTACTCTTCCTTTCCTCCGTCCGTCGGGGGTGAGCTGGAGTGCCTAGCGGCAACTGCACCTCATCTCGCGTCCACTCTACTTTGCCCTGAGGGGGACCCGGATGCACTGGACATCCCGACCTCGTGCTCTTACGCAGAGGCGATCACGGGTCCGTACTCCTATCAGTGGCAGATAGCGATGGACGCAGAGATGGCTTCCTGGAAGTCCACAGGCAACTACGTCGACGAGGTTCCCCCACGTGGGGCGAACATAGTCGATGGCACGTGGATTTTCAGGGTGAAGCGGCCGTCGGGTTCTCCGCCTGCCTTCAAGGCGCGTTACGTTGCACGAGGCTTCAGTCAGCGTGAGGGGGTCAACTTCTTTCAGAACTTCTCCCCACCCCGAAGATGACCACTCCTCGGGTGTTACTGCACGTTGCAGCACAGCGCGACTACGAGCTGCACTCCCTCGACTTCTCGACAGCCTTCTTGAAGGGCAGCCTTCACGAGGCTATCTGGTTGCGCCGTCCACGTGGCTCCACTGGGTCGTTTCCTAAGGGTACCCAATGGAGTCTCGACCAGTCTACGACCTACGACAGGCGCCCTGCGAGTGGCACGACACACTGAGGACTACACTTGCGGCTCTTGGCTTCGCTCCCTCTACTGCTGACCCTTCGCTGTTTCTGCGCAAAGATACTTCTCTGCCGCCTTTCTACGTTCTTGTGTACGTTGACGACTTGGTTTTTGCTACTGTTGGCACTGAGGCTCTAGCCTTAGTGAAGGCGGAGCTGCAGGAGAGACACACCTGCACTGACCTTGGTGAGTTGCGGAGCTATCTTGGCTTGCTGATCACCCGGGACAGAGCACACCGCACCATCACCCTCACTCAGTCCCACATGGTGCAGCAGGTCCTTCAGCGCTTCGACTTCACGTGGTCCTCGCCACAGCCCACTCCTCTGTCTACCGGCCACTTTCGGACGAGTCCGTAGAGCCGAGTTGTCCGTACCCAGAGCTTGTGGGTTGCCTCATGTACCTGATGACGTGCACATGACCTGACCTCGCGTACCCGCTCAGCCTCTTGGCTCGCTACGTGGCTCCCGGTAGACACCGAAAGGTGCACTGGGAAGCTGCGACGAGGGTATTGCATTACGTGTGCAGTACACCGGGCATCGGGATCGTGCTTGGAGGACGGGGTTCAGTTGTTCTCACCAGTCACTCAGACGCTTCTTGGGCTTACGACCAGACGACTCACCGGCCGACACAGGGGTACAGTTTCAGCCTCGGCACTGGTTCTGTCTCGTGGAGGTCCATTTGTTCTTCTTTTGTACTTAGTTCCAGCTGTGAGGCCGAGATCTACGCTGGGGCTACGGCTGCACAGGAGCTCCGCTGGCTGACCGACTTGGGTGAGCGGCCTCGTTCTCCTCCAGTTCTGTACGTTGACAACAAGGCCAAGATTGCCTTGCCTTGTACATTTCTCTCCGTTAATTCCTCACGCGAGAGTTGCAGCAGCGTGTTCAGCTTCGTCTTGCTTACGTGGCCACTCGGGCCAACACCGCTGATGTCTTTACCAAGGCCCTTGGGTCTAGTTATCATCAGCGTTTCTGCACTGCTCTTGGGCTTGTCCCCACTCTGCCTCACTTGCTTGTCTCTTGATCTTGCTCTTGTTGTACATTGATATATATGAGTACACCTGCATGCTTACACTTGCTAGGTTGTAATCAGCGTACTGTCGGAAACTCAACCACCTCCCGTGTCTCCTGCTCGCCCTGCTCTGTGGTCCTCTTCTCGTGCTGCTGTCTTATGGTTGTGCCTGCCTAGTATCATGCCTGAGCCTCGCTCAGAACGGTTTACTTCCTTTCCTTACTGCTAGCCTTCTCCGTAGCTCTGTCCTCGATCTCCCTTAAAGTGCTTTACTGCTTACTTCTCCAGATGAGCTCTGAGCTCCTTCACACACCTTCCTGTTCCTAAGGTTCCAATCTAAGGCATCCTTGCTCGTTATGTCTCCCTAAGGTCACCATTAGCTCACTCTTGCAGCAACGAATCGTGTAAAAAGGAAAACATACAAGCAATAGAAATTGCTACCAATGCTCTTCCTATTCTACCAGCACTACCACAGCCTTGCCTCAGCTCTACCATGCTTTGCCTAGTCTACTCAGTAGTGGCTAGGAACCTCTACGAGCGGACTTGCAGCCGTGCTGCTTCTTGCCCTCCTCTCCCGACCTTTACTACTTCGCCTCCAGCTACAATCATCCGGATCCAGCTGGCTCCCTGGAGCAATCCTGCACACACAGGAAAAAAAACACGCATGCACTCGTACACCCATCCGTCACTGGTGCTGTTGTTGCCTTCCGTGCTGCCCCTGCCTTGTCTCACTGCCGATCCTAGCTGCCAACCTCATGTCCACGTCAGTCCCGCCCCCATCCTCACCCATGCAACCCTCCGCCCCTTCGGCTCGGCAGCGGTCCTCTCCTCTCGCCTCTCAAAGTTCCATCTGACCCTTCGGCTCCCATCCTCGCCCCGCACAGACCCGATATGTACAATGTATACAATATGTACACCGCCTTTGTGCCTCCCCTTACCCCTCACATTCACAGAAATGTGACAGTACTGCTCTTGCTACTATAAACTCTGCATGTGAACTAGCCTTGTGGCTGCTTGCTTGTGCTCAAAATGCGTGGTGATCTTTAGATCCACCGTGAGCTTTGCTTTGCATTGTTCTCTTGCTTGACTGGTCCTGTGACCATTCGTTGTGTTTTCTATCCCCACTTTGCCTATGGGGGTGTGTCAAAATACAATTGCATATTTGTAGGCTATAGTGAGGTAGCCCATATAGAGTACAACACTTCTAGGGTTGCCTACTTGTATTGCTCCCAAACCCTAATGCAATCAGTCCTGTTTCCATGTTCTAACACATCCTACAAGGCCCTTGTACGTTCTGTTAGTTATACTAATGTGCTGTGGCCTCTGTTTGAGTGCAGGCAACCTAAAAAAGCCTCCACCTGAGCAGACGCTCAAGTGGATCGCGAAGGCCTGGAGAGCAGTGTCTGCCGCTCTCATCCAAAAAACCTTCCTCACATGTGGCATCAGTAACACACTCGACGGCTCCCAGGACGAGCTGCGCATGCAGCACCGGCGGAACGGAGAGTCCGCGTCCGTCGATGTCGACGACGAAGTGGCAGCGGATGGTTTCTTCGGGAACAACATTGTGGAGCCCGAGTCAGATGAGGAGGACAAGGAGTATAAGGTGGAGGAGGACCTTGATGACCCCACCTCCGTTCGCTACCATTAGAGTATGATAATTAAGAGGACTTTAGTGTAGGGGTCCTTAGAGTAGGCATTAGCTTTCCAGGCCTTTTGTAGTTGCAAAAGGGTGCTGAACATGTTTAGACTTATATTTATTAATTTAATAGTAGAATGTCATTCATAAGGTTTTGGGGGGGTGGGTTTATCACAGGAAGAGGGGGGTGGGCTTATCTAAAGATGGCTAAAAAAATGGGTGTGGTTATAATCGGCCTCTGCCTATAAGCGCACCAGTAAGATTATAAGCGCGTGGGTGTACCGAGGCATGACGGTAACATGCTTTTGCTGTTCCATGCATCCATTGGTGGCATATCCTGAAGGGACACCCTGAAGCAGCTGCACGATTTGCTCACAGAAGTCTAACGAATGAAATGACGTTTAGACCTGACATGCACGTCCTAGCACGCCTATGACACACAGCCGGCGCGATTCCATTTCCACGTTTGGATTGGAGACCGTCGAATCCCTCCCCCTATACGACCCCTGATTTGGACGAATGGCGTCCAGGTGGGGCAAAGGTCCTTCATCACCTCGTCGGAAACCGCGAATTAGGTTTGATGACGGGCGCATGCGATTGAGGCAGTGTCAGCGATTCACTCAACGATTCGCGCCCAATCAGAGCCGGCAGCATATGACGCAGAAGAGCAGTCGTGAAATCATCGCAAACAAATCGTAGGAATCTAGGGGGTTTTGTTTTCGCGCACTGTGGTCGGATGGCAGTGGGACGTGCGCATTCGTGTTTGCAATAACTCAACCGGCAAACATACAGAAACCTGTCGCTGAATCAGTCGTGGCAAACAAGTCGCAGGAAGCACGTCCTCTCCATGATCGTCTGGGCGACCGATGGTCGCCACTTCGCGGCGGTGAAAGCACTGCGGCAGGATGATTGCGCCAATCGCGAAAACAGGAAGATGTTGCCGCACACCGCGAGAGGGATAGTTTGGGCGTCTGTGCTTGCGCTGCTGGTTCTGGCCTCGAATGTGGCTGTCCAGCGGCGGCTACAGCAGGTACAGCGCTGCTTTCTCGTTAGACGCCAGCGCTGCAACCCTTACATTCCGTGTAAAAACCCAATGCGCAGTTTCAACCCTCCACCACCCCCTCATACCCCCCCGTAGCTCCCACCTCCAATCCCCCGCAACTCCGCCTCCTCCTCTCTCCCACCCTTTCCCCTTTCACTCCCCGGCGCCCTAACGTAGTGTTGACTCTCCGTTCCTTACGTCCTAGTCTGACCAGCTTGTGTGAATTTGAGGACGCGGTAAGTGTAGGATAGATCGCCTCAGGTTCGTTTTCTAACGCGGGATTTCATTGCGGTGTCCGGATCGATATTCCCCCGATCGAGCACTTTTACTACCGCGTCCTGAACGGGCGCCGAATGCACTGGTGAGTGCAACACTGCGCAGTCCTGGAATTATGGAGCATAAACACTTCGGTCCCAGCAAGCCTATTAAGGACAGCAATCGTACTAGTCCCCACTCCACACGCCGTGCACTCTCCCTTACGCAAACCCCCTTTGTCTTTCCCCCACCCCTTCTCCTCTTCCCCCCTCTTCCCTCCGCCTCTCTCCCCCACCCCCTCGTCTCCTTGCCCCCCACCCTCTCTCCATCTTTTGTTTTTGCTCCCAGCCTCGCTCTGGTATTCGTTATAGCAACCCCCTTTGTCTTTCCCCCACCTCTTCTCCTCTTCCCCCCTCTTCCCCCCGCCCTCTGCCCCCCCACACCCCCCCCCCCTCCTCCCCCCCTCTCCCCCCCCTCCCCGGCCCCCACCCACTCCCCATCGTTTTGTTATCGCTGCCAGCCGCGCTCTGGTACTCGTCATAGCGCCACCCGCCATAGTGACTCTGACGGCCGTCACAGCAAGAATGGTGACAGTGAGAAGGGCTTCACGGGCAATGGCAGCGCTGATGGGCAGGGGTTTGAGCTGCCGGATCCGCCGTCCAGGTTCGATGCATCTGTAGCGTGGCGCCAGATACAGCACCGCACGGCTGACTCGTGCTGGAGCCAGCAGGAGCGACACCTGTACCACACGGTATGGCGTTAGAGGGGGATTGGGGTGAGAGGGGGGAGGAGGGTTTGTAGCACATGGTACGGGGGTGGGTGGCTGAGCATCTGTAACATGTGATGTGTGAGTGGCACGGCACCTATAGCACATGGTATGATGTGTGAGAATCTAGTACGTGTAGCACACAGTGTGTTGAAGGAGGGGGAGGGGGAAGGGATTTTATCTGTAACACATGTTATGGGGGGTGGGTTGAGGGGGGGGAGTGGGGGAACATCTGTAGCGCATGGCATGTGAAGCGAAACATTTGCAGCTTCCGATTGGTGCAGTTCGTGCGGCTGGTGTGGTTGGTGCGGTTGGTGCAGTTGGTGCTCCTGTTGGTGGGGTTCGCCCAGTGGTGCAGTTGGTGGTGTGGTTGGTGCGGTTCCAGCATGGGGTGCAGGCTTGGGAACTTAGGAAGCTCATCTGTACTTAAACACAATATTATATGTCTTATAACAGTATCGAATCCAAACATTTTATCCAGCCCGATCCAATCCCATCCAGGCCAATCCGTCCCCTCCGTCAGCAGCGTTCAGAGATGCAGTGGAGGAGTTTGAAGCGATGCAGAGGGAGTGTGTGGGGTTCCGAAAAGTGGACAGCTGGCAATGGGTCAAAGTCAAGGCCACGTGGTATGATGGGGGCACGTGGTGTGAGAAGGGCACTTGGTGTGATGGGGGCACGTGGTGTGAGAAGGGCACTTGGTGTGATGGGGGCACGTGGTGTGAGAAGGGCACTTGGTGTGATGGGGGCACGTGGTGTGAGAAGGGCACTTGGTGTGATGGGGGCACGTGGTGTGAGAAGGGCACTTGGTGTGATGGGGGCACGTGGTGTGAGGAGGGCGCTTGGTGTGATGGGGGCACGTGGTGTGAGAAGGGCACTGGGTGTGATGGGGGCACGTGGTGTGAGAAGGGCACTGGGTGTGAGAAGGGCCCACCATGGCCATCATCACCATCCCTGTCTGTCTGCTTCTGTACCTTTCATTTACCCGACATTCACAGTGTGCTCATCGTGCCTATCAGTTAAAACAATTGCCCATGCAGTACGACATGTGTTCTTGATTCTTTGATGCTTTCACCACCACTCTCTTGTTTCTTTGATTCTTTTTACCTGTGTTCCGTCCTTCTCGCAACCCCGAATTCACAATCCTTGATTCCTGAATCACCAGGAACGAGACCGCCCCTCGATATGGCCGCGATAGGAAGCGATGTCGCTACATTGTGAATTATGTCATACCTAGGGGTATGCTGCTAGCCTGCTAGTGAGTTCGTGCATGGCCTGCAGCAGTCTACTAGTCTATGAATGTGCCCCCACCTTGCTGCCAGATAACACCTCCTTGATCCTTAGCCTCGTTGTCAAATAGCACCTCCCTGCTCCTCAACAATCTCACTGCTAGATAGCACCTCCCTCTCTAGTCCTAAACTCGCTTGCACGGCCATCTCTGTCGTGATTTGACCTGATCTGATCTGATCTGATTTGATACATGCAGGGTTGGGCAACAGGATCACATCGTACATCGTCTCCTTTGTCTTGGGTCTTCTCACCAACCGAGCCATCATCGCACCGCCACGAGCCTTCCTCACTCGCCGCTTCTGCAATCCCTTCGCCCACGCCAACACCTCCTGGACCGTCGGTCCCTTAATAGATCGGTAGGCCCTCCAGTGCAGTGCAAGGTGCACAGCAGCTGGTCTGGTCGCACAGCTGTAGGCCCACCAGTGCAAGGCAGGTCGCACAGCCATAGGTCAGTGGCCGACTGCCACCAACACCCCCCAAAACAATGCAAGGCGCACAACGGCTGGCTGCAGCAGCCACTCACACAGCCATCAGCGGCTTCCAATGCAATCAGCGGGTCACACAGCAGCGGGTCACACAGCAGCGGGTCACACAGCAGCGGGTCACACAGCAGCGGGTCACACAGCAGCGGGTCACACAGCAGCGGGTCACACAGCAGCGGGTCACACAGCAGCGGGTCACACAGCAGCGGGTTGTTGCAGGCCACTGTGGCTGTGCAATGGGAACCTCCTGTGCGCTGATTAGTCGCTCACTGTGCGCTTGGTCGCTCATTGTGCGATTTCAGCTAAAGACGAGCTTTCTGATAGCGCGATACCACGCACATTCACATTCCTTCCTCCCGCCTCGCACCTTCGTGCCTCTCCTCCTATGCTCCCCTTTCCCACCTCCCACCTTCCTCCCCATCCCCTTCCCGCTTCCCCCTTGAAACGCTAGTGCTGGCTGCTGTTCTCGACAGTGCTGCGTGAGTACCATTTGCAGATGACCATGACCGAACTGGCCAAGGAGCTGTTCAAGGAGGGCGATGGGGTGCTGGAGGACATGAGGAGGCGCGTGCAAGAGGATGGCACTGTTGTTCTCGACATGTACCACCGGTGGGCAGCTGTTTCTCTGGACCTTCGTTGCAACATCGTAAAATGCACATCGCTCCATGGCATGCAGTGCACATCGCTCCATGGCATGCAATGCACATCGCTCCATGGCATGCAATGCACATCGCTCCATGGCATGCAATGCACATCGCTCCATGGCATGCAATGCACATCGCTCCATGGCATGCAATGCACATCGCTCCATGGCATGCAATGCACATCGCTCCATGGCATGCAATGCACATCGCTCCATGGCATGCAATGCACATCGCTCCATGGCATGCAATGCACATCGCTCCATGGCATGCAGTGCACATTGCTTGCGAAGTAATTTCTGCAGCTCCTCTCTCTCGCTCATCCTACCCACCCACATAGACATGGGAGTTGGCCCGACCCGACCCGACCCGACCCGACCCGTCCCGTTTAGGGCGACCCGTGACAGCCAAGGGTCGGGTCGGGTTGGCGGGTCAAGATTGACCCTAATTTGAGGACCCGACACGTCCTGTGTGTACGGGTACTTGTGACCCGACCCCGGGTCGGGTCGGGTAAACGCAGGCTTAGGGATATATAGCGTTCGCGCTGCTGTTGGTGGCGACCGCGAATCTGTCTGGTGGCAATCGCGCTGCTGCGCCGCTGGACGCGCGACACTGCCAAGTGGCGTGCGCGCTCATGCACGTTAGCGGCAATGCGCACGATTTGTTGAGCAGTGGCGCGCGCGAAAGCGGGTACCTGTCGCTGACGATCCCTACACTATTCGCGCTCACATCTACAGCATCATTGCCAGTGGCGGGTGCAGTGCACTATCGAGGCCTTACTAGTTGTGGTGAGATCTATATTTGAGAGGAAGTAAAGGAAGAGTAGTAACCCTAAAGAAACCCAAGGTAGGCAAGTAAGCGTACAACTAGATATAGAGCCTGGAAGTGAAAATTGAGAAACAAAAAACACTGATGTTCCCTAGAGTACCCTAAACATTGCACGGGACGGGTCGGGTACACCTGACCCATGACACGGAACGCGACTCGGCGGACAGATCGGGTCAACCTGGTTCCGACGGGTCACAGATACCCGTGAAAAAATGACACTGACGGGTCACGGTCGACCCGACCCGACCCGGGCGGGTCGACCTTCTCACCATACCTGACCCGACCCGGGCAAATAGGCGGGTCGGGTCGGGTAACCCGACCCGTCCAGGCCAAATGCCCATGTCTACACCCACACCATGTCATGCCATAACAGGTTGAGGTCGGTGGTCGGAGTGCCTTTACTTTATCATGCTATTTCTAGCATAGGATAATTATATGCATGCATGAATTGCTTGATTTCCTAGGCTAGATGCTTTCCTATATTTTATTATAGTTATAGCACCGAGCTAGGTTGCGTGCACCGAATTCTGGCTTTTCGGTTGCCACCGAATTGCCTTCTACCGAATTCGGGAAGGATCTGTTCGGGACGCTTCGCGACCCGCGGAACCTTCGCGTAACACCTGGTTACGGGGCCTTGTGTCGAGCCTATATATAGCTTCGTGTTGTACCCAGGTGATGAATTCAATTACAATTCTCTTTTCTGAGCTCGATCCTAGATCCTCACAGCAGTGACGAGGCCAAGTATCTGGAGTCCACTCTGTGTGTAGCGGGGGAGATTTGCGTCCACGGGATAAGCTGCTACGTCACCTGCTTCTGGATCAGGTAAGAAATTGGGTCCTATGCGTTCGGCTTCGTTGGTGTTGACTCGGGCGGGTGTAACGTAACCAGTGTCGGCGAAGTCGTAGAAGACTTCGGCGTTGATGCTCTCGCGAGGGTTGTCGTCGTCCATTGGGATGTCCACCGAACAGTAGGGAAGAGGTCCGGCTTCTTCCGAAGCTCCGTTCATGGTCTGCTCGTCCAGGTCAGCTTCATGTTCTGCCGAAGCTAAGGCTCGGTCCCCACGAAATCCGCCTGTGACATCCCGTGAGGTTACCAGGTTGTACAGGTATGTTGGGAGAGTGAGACGTTTGTAGAAGATGACATCACGTGCTGCCACTGTTTCCTTTGTGTTGATGTCGAAAATCTTCCATGCGTTGTAATTATGTTTAGGTGTAGTCCCCATTGTGCGCGTTGGGAGAATCGACCGGCGCGTGCAGCTGGGGGTCGGTACTGTACCATGCAGCCGAACACTCGTAACATTTTTGTGTTGCCCAATTTTCCTGTCCACCGCAGATGCGGTGATGTGTTGTTCAGGAGCGATGATGACGAAAGCAAGTTGTGCAACATGACAGCGTGGTCCATCGCCTCGGGCCACTGGTGGTTGGGTAGCCGCATGCCACGTAACAGTTTGCGCATGGTGTTCTGGAGGGTCCTGTTCATTCTTTCTGCCACGCCTTGCTATTGGTGAGCGTAGGGAAGGGAGAGGAGTCTCTTGATGCCTCTCTCCGCCAGGTACTGTGTGAACCTCTGTGATGTGTATTCTCCTCCCTCGTCTGACTGGAAACTTTTCAGCTTCACTCCTGATTCTCGTTCTGCTACTGGAAGCCAGGCGACGAAGGCTTCGAAGGCCATGTCGCGGCTTGGGAGATTGAGATGCCATACGTATCGTGTGGCGGCGTGGATGAAGGTGATGACGTAGTTGTATGCTCTTTGACCCGGTTCACGGTTGTACAGTATATCGCTGTACACCTTCTCCAAAGGTGCGTATGCTGGTGCGCTCCGGTTGTGATGCGAGATGAACGGCTGATGCGGTAAGTCGGCTTCGGGGCAGGTGAGGCATGTTCCGCGCACCCGCTGAAGTTCTGTGCCATCGGGTAGAAGTAGGGAGTCCTTGTCAAGTACTCCTGCTTTTATTGTGTTGTTTAACGTTGTGTTGCTCGGGTGTCCCATTCTTGCGTGCCATATGTCTTCACCGGCGCGATGTCCGGGTGAGCGCCTGTACAAGTCGGAGTTGGTGTAAAAGCTGGCAATGAAGTTGGCGCTTCTATGGAATTCTCGTGGAGTGGGTGTCAGCTGCTGCGCAGGAGTCGGTGGAGTATCGTCGTCGATTGGGACTGGTGCCGTTGAGGGTCCTGCGGTTGTTGTCCTGATTAGTGTTGTCTCTGTTGCTGCCGATGTTGTCTCTGCTGCTGCCGATGTTGTCTCTGCTGCTGCCGATGTTGTCTCTGCTGCTGCCGATGTTGTCTCTGCTGATGCCGATGTTGTCTCTGCTACTACCGATGTTGTTTCTGCTGCTGCTTGTTGAATTGTTGCTAATGCCTGTGTTCGTTCTGCCTCTGGCACCGTGCTCGAGTACCAAAAACCGCCGGGGCTGAAGCCAGGATCGAGATCGGGTGGATGTGTCCAGGAAGTGAAGTTGACGATGGCGTCGCTGTTGGCGGTGCCAAGGTCAGGAACGAAGTCGAGGACGAAGACGTTGTTCTTCAACACCGCTTTCCCGATGTAAAGTCTGCCTTTCCCGTGAAACAACTTGAACTCCTGAGTGGTACTGTCTGCTTCGAGGTGAATACCTTTCGCCATCAGTTGACTGACACTCAGTAGGTTGTAGCCGAGTCCCTCCGCTATTAAAACTTTTGACATTTGCAATGTGACGTTGGTCTCTCGTAACTGAAGTTGAACTACGCCCTGTCGTCGTGTGTACAGGTTCTGATTGTTGGCGACGGTGATAACGACTTCGCACTGA